GAATTCCAATTCCAATTCCAGCTCCAGTTCTGGGGTTGGGACCCAGCACTTGAGGTTTAACAAGATTTAAGGATGATTGAATTTTTCTGTCTCTGTCTCCCTCTTTCTCCAAGGTGATTCTGTGTTCAAATGTGAGAACCATTTGCTCTACATGAACTATAAGATCTGAATCATGCTGGGCATGGTGGCATATGCCTGTAACCCCAGCTATACTCTGGAGGCTGATGCAGGAGGTTTGCAAGTTTGAGCCCAGCTTGGGCAATTTAGCAAGACCCTGTCTTAAAATAAAAAATTGAAAGGGCTGGGAATGGAGCTCATTGCTCCCTGGGTTCAATCTCCAGTAGTGCTAAAAAAGATCATTTAATTAACTCTTTCTCCAAATAGAAAAAAGCTTGCTACATGATATAAATATGTGCTTCCTAGGGTTGTTTGATGAACAGGCAACAAAAAATTATTGCTTGCTGAGTGCTAGGCACTGAGGACATGGTGATGAGGACAGACACGTTGTCTCTGGGTGCTTAGAGTTTGATGGACCAGTGAAATCCAAACAAATGAGCTCGGGCTCAGTGGAGGGCGAAACCAGCCGCACAGAGCCCTGCCCCTGATGCAGGCGGGGCTGCTTTCCCGTTTACCACCTCTTCCCAGACTTCAGGCAGCCGCCAAGTGTGATGATCAAGCAGCCATGCAGAGAAGCTCAAGCTCATGGCAAGGACTCTGGCCTCCTCCCCCGGGTCTTCCCAGGCAGCTGTCCTTGAAGGTGTGGGAGTCACATCACACTGGTGCTAGTGCTTCCCCGGGTCACAGTAGGACCCGCGGTGCTTGTGGAGCGGGTGTGCAGAGAGACACATCTAACAAAGCACCTTGGAGGACGGGTCCCTGTACTTGGTTGGACAGCTTTAACAAATTTAAAAAAATCTTTCTGCAGTACTGGGGACTGGACTTAGGGCCTTCACATGGATCTACATCCCCAGCCTTTTTTCTTTTTGATTTTGAGATGGGATCTTGCTAATTTGCTAGTTGCCTAGGCTGAGCTCAAACTTGGGATTTATGGAGAGCCGATCAGACCCCCAAATACCTGTCGGGAGAATGATGGGGAATAAAAGAAAGGGGGTCCGGGAGGAATCTGTCTCTAGTGGACAGGCTTCCACGAACTCCACCCTGGGCCTGCTTTTTATTCATTTTTTTGGTATGGGGGATCGAACTCGGGTCCTTGCGCTTGCACAGCAGGCGGCAAAACCACTGAGCTAAATCCCCAGCCCTTGGGTCTACTTTTATTACTTAGCAAGAAGCACAAGGGAGGGAGTAGTGTACTATTTCAGGGACAGCGACTGCAGTAAGATTAGGGTAGAAGATAGGGAGTGAGTTTAGCGTCTCAAAGGGGACAGGCTAAGGTCCTTCCCCATACCTGGATGACTGCATTTTTTATCACCCTCAACAGAATGCTGAAGCTGTGATTATAGCTTTCCACACAGCCAGGAAGTCTGTAACCTTTTAAGTACTTCTGTTCCTGAGGCAGGTCAACACCAACTTTGGGACTGTGGGGGCCATAATCTGCCCCCGACCGATCTATATATATCATGGCTGGTCCCCAATAGAATTCTCCTGTCTCAGCCTCCCAGAGTGCTGGGATTACAGGCGTGCCTCACTCTGCTGGCTAGTCTCCTTTTTTATGTGAATTCTTATTAGTTTCTATTTCACTTCCCAGTTTCACCCACAAATTATTTTGTGCCAGTAGCACCCTCTCTGTGTACTGAATATGAACTTCTAGGCAATGCATTTGAAATCAGGCTTATTGAATGATTTATGCAGATATCAGTTTAAGTGTTTTTAAAAATTCATTTATATTTCAAACAAAGGAAGGCCAGTTGTGAACATATTTCTACGGACACGATTTCTGACCCTTTTAAAAGAGAAAAGTCCATTTTTCTTCCCCCATTACAGGAAATAATACCGGAGATGAAATATGAAATATTATATCTCCCAACCTGTTAGCTGTATGATACACCGAGTTCTTGTTCTCTAAAACTTGAAGAATGAGTTCTAGGAACAAAAGAGTCTGAGTAGGAAGATATTTATTGGTAGGAAAGCTCCTGAGAGGCAGGAGGGGTCCTGAGTGGGTAGCCGGGGACCCCACTTCACAGAGGAGTTTCATAGAGTGGAACCCACGTGGGTACAATGTGGGCCACAGCCATGGTCATCCAGTAAGGTTACAAGTACAGTCACTTAGGTAATGGTGGTCCAGTTGGGAAACAAGTCACGTAACAAGCATGGGTGGAAGGAACAAAGATTCTCCTGGGAAGTGGGAGGTCCAGAGGTTTCTGGTCACCACCGGGGGCTGATGTTCGCCTAGGCTTCATTAGGCCCAGTGTTTGTTCTCTGAGGAAGTGTGCAGGTCTGGTCATCTTGTCTTAATCTTGAGGCCTGGTTTTCAGCCAATGTGTCTCCGATGCAGCTGTGATATGTTTCACCTTTGTCCTGACTCTGGAGGACCCAGCCCTATCTGACTGCCTGTAATATTTCTACCTAACTCATCTGTCTGTAATACCCCTAGTGAACTGACAACCTCACACTCATCAGGCAAGCACCCTACCACTCACTTACATTCCTAGCCCTTTTCATTTTTTTAAATTAAAAAATTTAAAAAATGTTTTTGGTACCGGGGATCGAACTTGGGTCCTTGAGCTTGCGCAGCAGGTGGTGAAACCACTGAACTAAATCCCCGGCCCCTTTTCATTATTTATTTATTTATTTATTTATTTTTGGTACTGGGGATCGAACTTGGGTACTTGTGCTTGCGCAGCAGTTGGCAAAACCACTGAGCTAAATCCCTGGCCCCTTTTCATTTTTTATTTTAAGAGAGACTTTTGCTAAGTTGCTTAAACCGGTCTTGAACTCATGATCCTCCGGCCTCAGCCTCCCCAGTAGCTGGCATTACAGGCGTGTATCACTGCACCTGGGTGGAAAATCAGCCTTGAGAGTTTATTACTTCTCCCTGGTGGTAGCTTGCTTTTGTTTCCACACACACAAACCCAAGAATTGGCAGTTTGGGGGAATGGGAGGCCAAGGAAGTGAGTCAGAGCTAGTGGGGATATAAGGACACAGATTTCTGAGTTTCTATGGTAACTACATGATTCAAAACACAGGTGACAGGAGGTCAGGGCCTGGCAGACTCTAGCTGCAGGACACCAGTGTTCTGGCTGCTAATGGTGTAAGAGCTGACCTTTCATCTGAAAAGGCACCTCTGGTGACCTAGCATGACATTGCTGCTGGTGACCTCTTTCACTTGGAAGATTCCTCATCACACAGTTGCACAACGTGAGGTTCTCAAGAACACAGGCTGTGCCACCTCCCATCACCTGGGTTCAAATTCTCACCGGGACATCAATAAATCAGAGGCAGAAAGAATTTGCAAAAAAATTGCAGGCACTGACACAGAAGCAATGATCATTGTAAATTATTGGAAAAATTCACAAAGATGTTGCATATCTGAATCTTTCTCTTGTCCCCTTAAGTCCCTTTGCCTATCAGGAAATGTTTATTGTTAGGGCATCATAAGTGCGGACAGGGATTCTGGTCTTCTTAGAAGTCAGCAGGAGGAGTGGAGAAGTTGAAGGTGTGTCTAGTACTGTGCCGGGTCACGTGTCAGCAAGGATCCCCGTGGGGCCTGAACTGTGGGGAATCGGGGCTCCCTGGCAGCTCCCGGTCAGCTGATGATGTCCTCCAGGAAGGAATCGCCATGGAATCAGGGACATGGGGTGACTGGTCTCTTTCTGGACTAGGACTTGGTGACCATGGCCCCTTAGCACCAGCTCTGGGCAAGGACAGCCCCCTTGAGCACTCCCCCCAGGGACCTGCTTCTGGCATGGTGGCTGCTGACCCTTGCAGCAGCATGGGACTTGTACTCAGGAAGGGAGCACCTTGTGGCTGGGACCTATAATGTAAAGGAGGAGAGGTTTATTTTGTCTCAGGTGGTTGGCAGGACTCTAGGCAGGAAGGGCATGGAGGAAGGGTTTGGTGGAGGAGAGTGTTCTCATCATGGTGACCCGGAAGCGGAGTTAAGGGAGGAGGCAGAGGAGGGAGAAACGCCCTTCAAGGTCACACCTGCAGTGACCCAGCTCCAAGAGGGCCCACCTCCCAGCAGCACATTCAGCTGTGGCGGCCCCAGGATCCAACTGCCTTCTGAAGCCCTGCCTCTGAATACATGAGGCCCGTGGGGGGCCTGGACCACAGTGCGGAGGCAGCTGAGGGTGAGGAGGAGGCTTGTCTGGAGGTGACCCCAGAAGGCCCCAGTGCTCCCGTGCCACATCCAAGGGCCCAGGCCCCACCAACGGGGCTGGAGGGCAGGAGGCTGGTGGAGGGCGGAACCAGCCCTGGCCTGGGGAGCGCCTCTTCTCTCATGTGAGTGAGGGGGTGCCTGCAGAGCGGGGCTCATCTGTCTACAAATACATTTTGTTTGAGATACATGGAAGTTTCAAAAATGTTGAGACTTTGTATTTGAAAATGGGAGATTACATAAAGATCTGGGTTTCTGTTTTCTGAATAATTAGGAGACCCCAGCAGAACCTGACCTGTATTCCTGTGTGGCAAGAATTAGCTGACTGGAGCTAGCTGAGTGCTGGCCGTCCCCAACACTCATTTGTGACCCGTGTCTCTCGTTACTTATGAGAGTCCCAAAGACACATGACCTCACAACCCTCAATGTAGCTGAGAAATATTTACTGAACACCTTTTGTGTAGAGAGCTCTGATGCAAAGACTTAGGCTGCTGTGTTTGTATCCGGTGGCCAGGATGCTTTTGGGTGTGGAGACCTGGCTTCTTTCTACTGGAGCTGGCTTCCTTCCCACTGGATCGCCCATTGCTAGTCCACCTTCCCTCTCCTCCGTCACTTTTGACCTAGACCATTTCCCTCTGGCAAGTTCCCAATGTGACTATGGAGTAAGTGATACAGGGTTTGCATTTAGAAAAAGTTGGCAAAGAACACAAGCAATAGTGCCATTTCATATGTTGGTGTTCATCTATTTTATTATCTATTAAAAAAAAAAACCAAGACCCTCCCTCCAACAAGCTCAGTATGCAAATACAAATGGTAAGTTCATATTGAAAAAATAATTACCTCTAAAAAAACTCTCCTTTTACTGGTAAGTGTAATTTCCTAAAAAACTGCCCCCCTTTATCTTCAATCAAATTAAAGTTGGATTATATCAAGTGGCTGTGCTAGGTCCATTCAGCTTCTTCCTGAAAGGTGATGAATCATCCTTCTGGGAATGCTCACAGCTTCAGAGTTTTGTTACTGATGGCATTATAAATGTCCTCAGTCATAGGCACATATGTCTTTGCTGTGTCGTCCAAGAAATACATGGCATCTTTGATGACGGTGGGATTAAAGCCTTCCTCCGCAAGGATCACTTTGCGGTGTTTAAAAGTTCCAGTGATCTCGATGGTGTCCTGAAAAAGATGCATCCACATGGGTTATGCTTTGCAATAGACGAGGGTGCAGGGAGACAGGCAAGGATGGGGCATGGGGTTTGGAAACTCACTGGTGACTCTGGGTACTGCAGGAACTGAGTGTGAGTTTTTATGACCCCCAAGAGCCTGTTTCCAGAAGTTCATGAGGGGTCTTCTGTGCTGTATTTGTTTTTATTCCTTCAGAGCCTTTAGATTTTAAGAGGGGTGGCACCTGGAGCTTTTCAGGCTGCAGGAATTGCTGGAACATCTTGGCTAATGTGGGAAGGGCGGGGGGCTCATTCACACACAAAAGCTCGGCCATCCCAGTCTGTTAGACTGAAGACCCCCTTCGGAGATCACTGAGACACCTGAAGATATTTCATTTTCACATCTCGTTAGCATCTGGTTGCAAAGCCAATGCTAGCACTTTATGGACATCAATAGAAGGAGTACTACAGACTCAACTATGTGGAGAATCCTGACTCCTTTTCTCAGGCCTTCAGTTAGGGAATCACAGAGCCTCCGAATCTGAAAGTCAGAATGTTAAACTAATGAAAAGGGTGAAAGTTTGAGAAAGAAAAAACAAAACACCCTCCAGCAGTGACAGTTGAGCAGTTCCAACTGGATAACGATGCCCGGTTGAATTTTCCCCTGTAGAAAGGTGGAGGAATTCAGTAGTTTCTCCCATCCAAGTACTAACCAGGCCCGACCCTGCTTAGCTTCCAAGATCAGACGAGATCAGGCACATTCATGGTGGTATGGCCATAGATGGAATTCAGTATTTTCTGTACTCTTTCAAATTGAAAAGGCAACTAGGAAAGTTAGAATATTTCTACTTGAAGTGCCATACTTCATCAAACAGAGTTTTGTGAGTTATTTGCTAAGACTATTGTGAATAAGCTAGCCTGTCATTTTAGGGAGAAAGGGATTAGGGTCGATTTCTGCTTGCTGTATTTTCTGATACTTTTGCTTCTTTCTTGAAACACAACACTTCTTTCTGAGCTTCCTGAATAAGGTAGTGAAAATTTGGTAAAAGTCACCCCGGGAGAAAGGGACCTGTTTGCTAAGAGACCGGGGTCTCTGACAGAAGAAAATTGCTACTGATGAGGAGCCTCACCTGTATTCGCAGAAAGCGTGGCCTTGCATAGGTGGGCAGGTAATCGGCAATGTGTTTAAAGAGCTTCTTTCCATCAAATTCATAGTTTTCTTTCATCTTGATTGAGGCCATGCCAATTCGTCCCTCATGACCTAGAAGTAAGTGAGAAAACATTAGATGTGTTTGGCTGTTTATTTACTGTGTGAGGCTTTGTGGATGGAGACCATTAACACAGGTTTCTTTTGGATAGCTGGAATTTTAATTTCAAATATATGTTAAAGCTGGAATTATTATAGATAGATGAGTTAGGTAGAAATATTACAGGCAGTCAGATAAGGCTGGGTCCTCGAGAGTCAGGACAAAGGTGAAACACATCACAGCTACATCAGAGACACACTGGCTGAAAACCAGGCCTCAAGATTAAGACAAGATGACCAGACCTGCACACTTTCCCAAAGAACAAACACCGGGCCTAATGAAGCCTAGGTGGACATCAGCCCCCGGTGGTGACCAGAAACCTCTGGACCTACCACTTCCCAGGAGAATCTTTGTTCCTTCCACCCACTCTTGTTACGTGACTTGTTTCCCAACTGGACCACCATTACCTAAGTGACTGTACTTGTAACCTTACTGGATGACCATGGCTGTGGCCCACATTGTACCCACGTGGGTTCCACTCTATGAAACTCCTCTGTGAAGTGGGGTCCCCGGCTACCCACTCAGGACCCCTCCTGCCTCTCAGGAGCTTTCCTACCAATAAATATCTTCCTACTCAGACTTCTTTTGTTCCTAGAACTCATTCTACAAGTTTTAGAGAACAAGAACTCAGTGTATCAGACAGCTAACAGGTTGGGAGATATAATATTTCATATTTCATCTCTGATTATTATTTCCTGTAAGAGCATGGTGACACATGGCTCTAATCCCAGCAGGTTGAGCTGGAGGATCACTGAGAGTTCAAGGCCAGCCTGGGCTACATAGTGAGTTCAAGGCCAATTTAGACCACATAGTGAGATCCTCTCTCTAAAAAAGAAAAATCAGGGCCAGGGATTTAGCTCAGTGATTCTGCCGCCTGCCTTGAAAGCTCAAGGTCCTGAGTTCAATCCCCCGTACCCCCCCCCAAAAAAGAAAAATTAAATATATATTAGGTTATTCTAAGGTGAATATACTAATGGTAATAATAATGATAGCTACACACTGGCTGAATCCAGGCCTATTCTAAGTGTGTTTTATGACTTCTCATTTAGCCCTCACAGAGGTACAGATGTCATCTCCATTTTACAGATGAAGAAACGGACATGAAGACCTTAAGAGACTTGTCCAAGGTCAAGCAGACACTAGGCAGGGTCAGGAACCAGAGGAGCCCATCTTCTGTGGCACCAGCATCCTTCTCAGTGGTCTGGACAACGACACCTGATTAGGACACAGGACTAAGGGTGGCTGAGGGGAGTTTTTTCTGGACTGTGGTGGAAAGTCCCTGACCCCATCACGAATAACTGAGCTCAGGCTCTTTAGTTGGCTCTTTAGTCCTTTGAGTCTCCAGGCACAAACACCACCTTGGAGACTTATTTATTTAATCAAGTTTCCTAATAGCTTTGCCTGTGGCATGGCAGAGAAGCTTCGGGCTGGAGGGTGACAGGCGCAGGGTGGGGCTATTGGGTGCCTTCCCATTCTTGGTTCCTGCCCAGGTCTCTAGAGAAACAGCTCTGCAGAGAAAACAGTGGAGAGGGGTTGAGAACAATTACGCCTGTTTTCTTGTGAGAACAGTGGTAATTAGGCGCCTGCTGGTGGAGCCCAGTCCGCTTCCCTGAGCTGTTTAGCTGTAATCAGAGAGGGGGCGGGAGCTGTCCCCGTCACCTGGGGCCCAGCTTTTGAAATCTCTCCCATGGGGACTGGGTGTTTATCTACAGCTCCAAGGAAGGCAAAACACAAAAGGAAAACATTTTCAAAGAATGGCTGCCTCATTTGGTTTGCTTTCTATCTGAAAGAGCAAGGCAGACCCTCTGGCTCCGAAGTCATGAATGAAAGTGGCAGTGGATGCGACAGAGCTCTCACATTTTCCAGCTCTGTGTTTCCTGCTCTGCTTGTGCAATGCTGACCAAGGGGCAGGTGGGCCTGCAGGTCTCAGGCCTCTGGCCCAGCTCCCAGAAGTCTGTTTGGGATTGTGCAGCTCCAGGAGGAAGTTTCCAGTCTACAGCACCAGTGGTCTAGAGGTCACTTCCGGCCAGAGGTTCTCCATCCAATGTGGCAGCCCCTGCTCGTGGTGGCTATTAAGACTGGAAATGACATAAACTAAGATGAAAGCTTCAACCCCTCAGCAGCATTAGCCACACTTCAAATGTAACAGCCACATGGTGGTCTTGGTGGCCAGACTGGACAGTGAAAATAAAGAATAAATTTCATACGTAACTCTCACAGCTCATGAAAGGGGAATTTTGTATTTCTACCTGTTTTTTGTTTTTGAGACAGGGTCTTGCTATGCAGTTCAGGCTGGACTTCAGCTCACGCTGTAGCCCAGGCTGGCCTCGAACTGTCTCAGCCTCCCACATGCTGGGATCACTTATAGGTGTGTGCCACCACACCTGGCTTTGTCCAGGGGATTTAGTGTGCCCGGCAGCAGTGCTGCAGAGGAGGCCAGCTTAGGAACACCGAGGGGCTGTTACAGTGGAACACAAAGCAGACAGGAGCCCCCCACTCCCTGGTGGCTTGAAGAGTTGCTGAATTCTCCAGCTGGAGGACAGTACAGCAATGAGAGTCACCCTGGTGGGGCTACAGTGATGTTCAGAAGCTGGATGCATCAGGTGTGGGCTCCTGTCTGGAACATACCTGGCACGGGCACTCCGTACACATTCACCTCCTGGACAAACTCAACCAGGCCCATGATGTCAGCGACCTCAGTGGTGGCCACGTTCTCCCCTTTCCACCTGCAAGGAAAGCAGAGTCACTGATGCTTGCTGGCCAGGCTGCAAGGGCAGAGAGCAGTCTCTTTCCCAGCTTCTTGGGGTGGGGGCTGGTCTCACCATCTGCATCTTGGCCCCCTGAGCCCCCAGTTTAGTCAAGGCATTCTGCTTGGGGCACAAGAGGTAAAGGCCCAGACCCAGGTAACAAAATGTGGAATTCTAGTCTTGCCACAGGAAATAGGATGGACAGGACAGTGTTCTCAGCCTGGGCTAAGAAAGGCACTAGAAATCAGAAATATGTCAGATTGACTTTTGCTCTATTTAGGTCTCTCAATTTTCTCATCTACTAACAAGTCTCTATTTAATTCAATTAGTAAATTACTATTTAATAGATTTTCATATTTGTATTTCAAAGTCTCATGGCATTACGACAGCCTTTAATTAAAAGAAAAAAATCATACTTTTTGGTAATGTTAATGTTAAAGCCCCCCCCATGTGCTATTTTTCACTTACTAAAGAACTGAATTTTATTTTATATAAAAAAATTCCTTTGGGCTCCCGGAAGTATCTCCTTAATACCATGAAGGTGGCATAAAATGAAGAGGTGGACCCTGGATCACGGACTGTTAGGGGTGAAGGTGCCCCGAGGATCTCCAGGAGCCTCGGGCAATGGGTGAGAAGAGTTGAAGTGAGGAACCGCTCGAGGCCTGGCTAGCCCTGCTGGGCACAGGGCGGGGACCTGGGAGCCTGGCTCTCCTCATTCAACCGCCACCTTTCTGCTGTAGTCAGACAACTTCCGTCCCTGCCTCGTTCCTTCCTGTCAAAACTGACCACATGCAGCAGGGACTGTACTAGATGCCAGGGGTGGGCAAGCAGACCCAAGGCCGCCTGTCCTCAGGGAGCTCATGCAGGACGCCCTGAGGCTGCAGGACTTCCCAGCCCATTAAGCTCACTTTCCACCATCCTGTGGAAAACAGATGGGAGACAGGAGGGAGGAGGGGAGGGGACAGGCTCTGCACCCTTTAGCTCCTCTTCATCCAGATTAGCTCCGTGTTCATTTGCATTTGATTTTACCTGAAGAAGAGCCACCATCAGAAACATGTGACAATCCCCGCTGCTCCAAGAGTGCCACTAAGAAAGGACACCTGAGGGTGGCTGGATGGATTTTAAGCTCCAGAATATGAGAGTCAGGTTTCCTGTCTCAGTCCTGCCCAGTGTGGCTCAGCCACGGTAATGGCACCACTCAAGGCGACACCCATGCTCTGGGAATCCAGGAGGTGGGACCGACACACCAAAGATGGGCGGAAGTGAGGCCCTACAGCCTGGATGGAACGAGTTCTGATTTAGGGGTAGGCCAAGCTGTGCATGCATTTGCTTTGGAAGATTCAGAGAAACCAACCGAAACGTATCTCCGACTCGGTCATGGAAGTAGATGAAGTTGTCATGGTCGATCATTAAGAGGTCTCCGCTGTTGAAATAGACATCGCCTTTCTTAAAGACGTCTCTCAGTTTCTTCTTCTCTGTTTGGTTCTTTCTTCCAGCATAGCCATTAAAGGGCGTAAGTTGTGTGATTTTGCAAACCAGCAGTCCGACCTCGCCTAAGACGGAGAAAAGGAAATTAGTATTTTGTGTGCTAGAGATAAGTACATTTTTATTATCAACCTTTTCTTAAAACTGATGGCCTGCAAGCCACTGGCTGCAGGAAGTATTTTCTTCATGCACATATTCATGTAGACTACATACATATGTATCCTATACACATATGTGGTGAACATTGTTCTATACGGCCACACGTGTAACTATTTCACACTGATCACTTACGGAATGATTCATGCATATAGCTAGACAAATGCATGGAAGTTAAAGTCAGAGGAAAAGCCCACCTCACACTCAGTTTTGTAATCATAATCATCTCTCTCGTCCCACAAAACACTGACCTGATCAGGAAGAAGTTGTTAAGCTAGCTGCGAAACTACCATCCTGTTTTATTTAGTGGTAAAGCGGCCCTCTCTGAAATTTCTGTAGCTGTTTTGAGGGTACTTAATTGCACCTCTTTTTTCTCCACTCTGGTAAATAATATGTTGGTCCTTAAAATTCACGTGGCTGAGGTAAGGAAAGGCACAGGTTAACTGAGCAAAAGTCCACGGTACCTTTAGGAACTCTGATGCAAAAGCCGTTCTCATCGCGGACAGGTTCATCTTTCTCCACATCGTATTTAATCAGCTCATAACATGAGGCTTTCTGGCAAGATTAAAACATATCAATGTGAGTAGAAATCTTTTCAGTTTCATAAACTTTATTATATACAGTACATAAAGCACACATATCTTAGTGACATCTTGCATTTGTATAAACCTATGGAATTATCACCTTGATTAAGATGTGAAATATTTTCATTTCACTTTCCTCCAACTCCTTTCATGACCCTAACCATTATTCTGACTTCCATCACTCTTAATTTTAAACCTCAAATAAATGAAACAAGTACATGCTTTTATTTCTGCTTCTTTCACTGGGTATGTGTGTGAATATTCATCCCTGCATGTCAGGGTTTCTATGAGTGTTTTTCTGTTCTTTTTTTTAGTTTTGAATTCCTTTTTTGCAGTGCTGGGGATTGAACCCAGGGTCTCATTATTCTAGGCAAGTGCTGTACCACTGAGTGGTCATCTCTAGCCCCCATGACCCATTTTTATTGCTGCCTAGTTTTCCCTTGAATAAATGTACAATTTATTTAATCTCCTCTTAATGGGTAAAATATACTACAGCTTACTTACCCTCCTGTTAATGGGTACTAGGATGATTTCTGGTTTTGGATTATTATAAAGTCTGCTAGGAGCATTCTTATACATGTATTTTGGTGGACATATTGTGAATGGGTTTTCAAAATCTTGTATAACTTTATATTCCTATGCTACCATTAGATACTTCACATTGGTAGGGACATGCTCTGCAATGTTTTTAGGGATAAAAGGTAAAATTATTTCAGGCTTTTGAGTATAAAATTATTAAAACTCTATCGTAGTTAATATACAATATGCAAATTACCACTGATGTTAATGTAAATAATTCTGTAAGACTGA